CATATTAACTAAAGAAAGCCAAGCCATATTTTGCAAATCCTATTTGTAATTTAAAGTTTTAAGACTAGAAGATTAAGCTGATCAAACTGAGGAGAGTAATTCAATTACATTTCATTACTGCTTCATTCAAATTACTGTTAATGAATTTGCAATTTTTCTGCACCTTTAATAACCTGTTTTCCACACAGGCTGTTCATGACCCATGGCCAGGCTGCCCAAAGACCTGACACCACTAGAATCACTGAGTGCATTTGCCTCAAGCTACTAAAAGAATGCCAACAAGCGAGAAACCGACCAAAAGACTGCAAGGGAAAGGTTCGGCCCTTTCCACAGTCAATTGTGCAAACCTACTGCCATGTTACACAGCTGCTTGAACACTGCCAGCCCATACAAGATAAGACCAACTTGTTGTTAGTCACCATCAACAACACCACAGTATGTGCCTGGTAAGATGACTTTTATTTCTAAGAAATATTGCCGTTTAGAAATGTGCTTGTCCTAAAAAGTAAACAATTTTTATTGTACTATTTTTCAGGCTACATGGGCGACAGAAAAGAACAGACCGAGACACTCTCCTGCAAGGAGTACAGCTTCACAAAAGGTATCTGTGGCTGAAAATTCCCTGCCAGATCCAAGACAGCTCCCCTCTATTCCTGTTGAACATGTACATAAATGCATGGAATTTCAGGAACCTGAAAATCGTGAAGGGGAGGCAGTGATACGTCCACGGGTTGGTGGTAAAACTGGCTCTTCAAAGCATTGTCCTCCTTATCCTAAGACTGTTTTGTCATTCTCATGCCAGCAAGGTCACTCTTCACCAGGCCCAGCTCCTACCTGCTTCTTTTATGCACAGAGTCAGCAGCTCCAATCACCTGCTTGGCCGTATTATGAGCAGAATCAGATGCCAAAACCCCAATCTGCTTCAAGTTTCTGCTACTGTCCATCAGCCCCAGTTAGGTCCTCATCTGGACAAGGACAGTTCCCACCGCTGGCTATTCCTCTAGCTTCATTGCATCAGTGCTGTACACCACAACTTCATGCATCAGCTCCGGCACCTGCTGCTGATGTAGCAGCATCTTAATCATCAAATCAGTTTTCAGCAAACATAAAACGTCACAGGAGATGGAGAAAGAATAGGGCAGAACTAGAAGACCAGGAACGTCTGGCAAGGGGGGAACCTCCCAAAAAGCGGCAATGGAAACAGGACTATCACTATCAATGTTCAGTTTGTGGTCAGGCCAAAAACAAAAGGACTGGTCATACACAGATTACGGGAAAGTGGTAATGTCTAGCCTCTGGACAGACAATTTTGCAATGGAAGGAAACTTTCAGCAAACAGTGAAAGCTAAGAAAGATTTTCTTTGTATAATGGTTAGTTTGTTACTCTGATGGTCTAATGCAAAATGTTTTGAGGCATTTGATTGACACTGTCTTTTGTTTAAACAATTTTATTTACGCTTTATGTGCTCAGTCTAGTGCTGAATCAGTTGGAAAATGTGTGAAATCTAGAATAATTTCACAATTGGTGCCTGTATGTTTTAGTCAGCCTTTGGACAGTGCTTAACACATGTCCAGCTATAGTGACCGATCAGTGTAGGTGGTGTGTAAGAACAGGTTTAATAAATGTCGCTTATCATAATTTGAGTGTGTGTTGTGTAACCTAAATGATGTTGTACCTCAATAGTAGTAGTGACAGAAAACAACCAAAATAGAGATAATTCCAATGGTTTACCAGATAGAACAGACTCTTGAGGGTAAAAAATGTTGAACAGATAGTTTTAACAATAGTAGTTAGAAATTAAAAGTCTGATTATATATTATCATTTTTCCTTTCTCCCATCTTCCCCCCCTTTTTGCACCTGGCCGAGTGGTTAAGGCGATGGACTTGAAATCCATTGGGGTGTTCCTGTGCAGGTTCAAATCCTGCCAGCAACAACTGCTCTTGAAACATACAAAGTGTTTACAATATACAAAAAAGCCAAACATAAAGTGTTATCGTCAAATGAGATATTTGGCAGGTTTTGAATTATGCAAATAAACACGCAGTCCAGCAATCCGCTCCTCTGAGATTCTGTTGTTTAAGTGGCTATTGGGACACTTTTGAAATCAGCTGAGTTATTTTCTTCTTGATGTAAAACAAACCCACAACAGTTTGTTTCAACAAATCTATCCTACCAACCTATGAAAATCAGTTCGTTTTCAGGCATTGATTAATCAGGAGTGCTCAGTGCTGCTAGGCAAGCAGCATATAATTTATTGTGCCTAGCAACTTTAAAATTGTAGTACCTTAGTTTGAAAAAGCAAATGTTTTTAACATCAGAACTGACCTTGCTTTGAAAGAGGGCAGAGTAACGACATGGCTGGTTATTGGAAAAATGTATAAAAAAAGTATCATTATCATTAGTTTAAACAAGGGTTATGTTTCCAGTTTTGCTCTAGTGAAGATGATTCCTGTGATTGTTTTTTAGTGTGTAAAAGGGAGTGGAGAGTTACGGAATGTGTTCTGTAGTGGATCACTCTCTGGACATGACATGCTTATACCATATATGGGAATGACCACTCTTCTAATTTAAAATCTCTGTAAGAATTGGCTGAACCGATTCCCGCTTTTTACTTGTAAGAATGTGAGTTGTAAATAAAAGGCTAGTGCAAGGACTTAATCTTTTGTGAGAAGGAAGTCAATGTTCTGCATGTACTGTCTCTCCCTTGCAAGTCAAACTTACTTGGCTCATCTGTGCCTTATTCGTACACTTGTTTGTAATTATCAACTTTTTAACTCTAACATTTCTTTGGTCCTTTGAGCTGGAGTCGCTAGAAATCTGCCGCCCGGTTCCAGTCTGCGCAGCCTCCAGAACGTCTGGAGAACAAAAATCCTGCAGAGTGAAATTTGTGTTGGTAACCGCCAAATCGACCGAGGGGCACCGGGAGGGTGGATCAATGCATTTCAACAGACAGTGTGCACGAACGCACAGGTAAGACGGAACCAACTACGTATATAAAAAAAAATACAAATAAATAGGTGTTATGAGTTTAGAGGTACTCATAATTTCTCTTAAGGAAATTCAAAAGCAACCAACTCCACATAAAAATAAAAATAAATAGGAGTTTTTGAGTTTAGAGGTACTTGTAATTTCCCCTAAGGAGATTGAAAAGCAACCAACTAAATGAAAAATTCTGAGTTTAAAAAGAAAAGCGCATAAAAAAACAGATAAACCTAGTCTAGGTGATTTAGGTCTATAAGTGATTGTGTGTTGCTGCATGTGCGTGTGTGTGTGTGTCTGCAGAATCATAGGGCACTCTCAGTGAGACAACCTGAAACCTTGCTGGTGTTAACATAAAGTTGTTGACAGCTGAGAGGTGTCGTAAGGAATTCTGATTTGGATATTAGGTGCCATCATATCTCAGTCTAAAACTCCTGC